TGCTGAATACCACCTCTGGCCTTCTGGCTGTAAATAAAATGGATTGTAAAACTTCTGTTAAGGTTTACTGTTCCATTTCGTTATCCTCTAGGTCCCTCTAGTGTCCAACTTTCAAGGTACTTTATTTTAAAAAGATCCCAAATAATCACCATTTCCTGTGAGAAAATTTCTTCTTAATTCAAAACTATAATTCCAAATCCATCTAAATTCTAAACCATTGATTTGTTATTAACTTTCTGAAATCCTCATTCTAAGCAGCTTTTTCTGCATAATCCAAAAAATAATATATTTACAAAACTTTTTAAGTCAAACTAGACAACCCATGACCTGTTGGTTCATCTTTCAGAAATACAGAAATACTTAATTAATACTTAATACATAAACATAATGACCAGGGCAGTGGGAGCAAAAGCAAAAATAAGCAGTGGGAGCAAAAGCAGCTTCCAACCTCCTATTGGTGTCTCAGTTGACTTTATTGTTGGAAATTGGCAGAAATCAGATTCCATGACCGCAGCAGTGCTGCAGCAGTCACACCTTTGCCAATACGGATAGTCCTCAAACTATGACAATTTGTCCAGCTATTGTTCAAAGGCTCAATGGTTCCAAATCAATGGTAGTTATAACTTGGAATTTTGGCCATTCCCCCCCCCCCCCCCCATACTACCTGAGTGCTTAGTGATTCATTTGTGCTTACAACTGGTTACCAAATACCCTGTGATCATGTGATAGCCATTTCCAACCTTCCGTGCCAGGGCCCCCAGACACGAGGAAGACAGCAAGGAAGGTCTCGAGTCACTGGGACAGGTTTTCCTTACTCACGCACGCTCCCAAGCCCCTCTGTGCTTGACTGCACCTGCCACTCATGCACCCTCTCCAATCCTCATCACATCTCAGTCACACCCTTGTGCACTCCTGCATACCCTCCTCAACCCATGCACCCCTGTGCAACCTTCCCAACCCAAACAGCATATCTTGTGCCCGCCCATCACCTTCCCTAACCTGTACTCCACCTCTTGTACATCCTCTCATCTCCTTGTACATCCTCTTGCACACTCTCCCTCATCCAGTAGCCAGCCACCAATGTGCCTGCCAGACTGGGACTTTCAACTTCCTGCCAGCCTTCCCTTGGCTTTGCTTGCGGGACGCAGACAAGGAGCATCAGAAATCATGATCATGTGAATATGGTTAACCAAGCAGAATTGGAAGGGGTCACAATTGTGTAAATAGAACAGGTGTGAAAATCTTTGAAATTTCAATTGTATAGAGGTATATATAATTGTATAACCCTGGATTTTTATGCATTAAGTCGGCTTACTTGAGGCAAAAATTGTTGCACTAAGATGCACTGTTTCAGCTAACTGAAGGTTATAAACAGACAGGCTAACTTTAGTAGTCTATAGATTTACACAATCTTTCTCCAAGTTGAAGGGGACTTACCTAAGGAACACAACAAAAACTTGCCAATTCAGAGTCTTAATCTCTCCAGTACAATAAAAAAAATAATCCAAAAAGCAATTAAGAAATGAGAGTCAGTCAAGCCTAATGTCCATAAAAGGCTTTGTTGTGGGGGTGAACTTGATGGAATCCCAGCTCCGAGTCACCCAACTCATAAGCTGACTGTAAAACATCAATTTCTGCAATCGAGTAGCTGTTTGGAGTCACATGGATAATTTCAATATCTCCCCTTCCTCCAGAGAGATTTTGCTGGTGTGGATAAAGCATCCTGCTACATTTCTCCTTGTAAATGTGGCCCCACTACTAGCAATACCTTGCCATGGCACTGACAGAAAATCAGGGATGTTTATTTACATCGTAAGTTAAAGTTCACACATCTAGATGTCTGATTTGGAAAAGGCCAAAATAGCTTTCACATAAGGACTTTCACTATTGCTTTACCGTTAAACATGTTTATTACATTATATATTTACAAAAGTATTTATAGTATTTATATACCTGAGTATCTGAGTAAAGTAAAAGTATCTGATATTTTTTACTGAGTATAGTAAAAGTATCTGATATTTCCAAGACCACTAAGCTATTAATATAGCAGCATTGCCATTTGGCACCAGGCAGACAAATAGACACAATTTCTTCAGTATTATATCAGCATGGAAAATCAAGTTTCCATTGTGTCAAATTGCTTGAAGGTTAAAAATTAATATAATGTGTGTATATAAGTTAGTAACAATGAACAGGGAAAGACAATAGAAAGTAATGTGTCTATAAATCAGTTGAATTCAACTGTATTTAAAAAAAGAAAAGAAAGTGTTGTGATATGCAACCTATATACAGTGCATCAGTGTTCAAATAATCAGAACTGTAAAATTCATCAGCTTCAGATCTCTAACCATTCCTTTTGGTGTGAACTTTTTGAAGATGTTTCAAAAAATGACTTCTCAAAGACCAATACTAAGTTGGAGAATACCTGATCATTGATAGGTTTCTGTGAATTGGCAAAAAGAAATGTATACTTGATTTGCAGCAATGAATTGTTAAAATGTATTTCTTGTCAACATTTGTTAGTTTTTCAACAGATAATAGGTAAGATTTTCCAGCAATTTGGTCAGTTTTATTCTTCAGGTTATAGCATAATTTCAGTCTTCACACACATACTGTTTTTTAACTGTCATGCTTATGATTTTTTCATGTTAGCTATTTAAAATTGTTGTATCCATTTGGTTTTGGTTTTTAAAATTTAAAAATGACAATTGATCATAACAGTGAAAAGATTTACTTGGATGTACAGTCCAATATTAGGCATTTGCTCATGCAAGAAAATGGGGTTCGCTGTTATACACTGGGTTTATAGTGCTTTGCCCAGCTTCCCTCTACACCACCTGAATTCAATGAAATTTACTATTGAGTAGGGAGATGTAAAAATGCACTGCTTGTTAATAATATTTGCAGGCAGCTTCAGATGCATAGAAGTATTGGAAAAATAAAAAAAATTAAAACATGTTGAAGGTTATTCTTAGAATTCATAGGCATTGGTTTCTAATTTGTAAGTAAGCATGCCAGTCTCCCCAGTTATTAATTAACAAATCAAAAGCAAATACTTTTCAAGTAATGTCTATACTAAAGGTGGCTAACTTAGTTCTGGGTTTTAATACATTATATGTATTGTATAAATTGAGGAAGGAAGGAAGGAAGGAAGGAAGGAAGGAAGGAAGGAAGGAAGGAAGGAAGGAAGGAAGGAAGGAAGGAAAGAAGGAAGGAAGGAAATGTCTGACCACTAACTTTTTGGACTGTAGTTATATAATCCCAATAAAGATTTGACTGAGACCAGTTTTGGAGTTGGATACTATAGTATGTCAGCAGAGAGATCTATGATCCCATCACTCCATGTAAAGAATAAACATAAATTAATAAATTAATACTACCACTATGGGAAATATAAACAGTCTTTGTCTTATACAGTATGTTTTGTTTCATTTTTATAATTACAAATGCCCTGAAATAGGCATACTATGTAGTTTCATAGAACTGAGAAACAAGATACTGTCCATTTCCCAACACTGACTTCACTAATTATAAATACTGGAAATAATGACTCATTAGTGGAACTGTTCTCATTTTACTAAGGGGAATTTCAAAAACAGCATATGGTGCAGCATAAAGGTCAGCTGTTCAAAAAAATAAAAATTAATTTGAGCATAGGGCTGAAATATTTCTAAGCAACAGTTTACATCCTGACCCAAAGTGCATTTATTCCCATGTTCTAGGTGGCACAGTTGGCCTGACAAATCTGGGCTGCAAAAAAATATATTTTCTGTATCTCTGTTGCCGCCTCATGGTTGATTTTTGCATATCTGGTAATCGCAGCTTTGGTTCAGGCTGCAAGGATGCGAAAGTTAGCTCAATTTTATCTAATGAAGAACACAGATATTTCTTACAGACACAATTTTATGTGTCTCAAGATCATCTCCAGTCTCAAAAATAATAACATTCTGTTTCCTAGAAACAGTCGCTTGAAACAGAACCATTAGTCAGTCCTGACTTCAAGAACTCAGTAGACCCATGACAGGGATAGGACAGGGACACTATATTTAGGACAGCAGCAAAAAAACAACTAGCAAAATTTGAAGTTATTAGTAATCAGACTTGGATTTACAGAACAAAACAATTTAGACCGAATGTGCCATCATATTATTTATTATACACTATGAAAAATAGACACACAAGCCTATTTAACTGATGCTTTCTATCCCAAGTTGCAGCATTTGTACATCCTGATCACATTCTAACTTGAAACATTGGAAATGTGCTTGAGATATAATTCTTTTACATGTGTAAAACTCACATTGACATATCTTTAGCAGATTTTTCTTCAGCATTTAATATATGTAGGAATAATCTTGAAATGCTTGGGACTAGTTTCTCTAATCCCCAATTACTGATCATCTGTTTGGGGTTTGTAGGAGTTACAGTCTATAACATCTGACAGATAGACTTCATTATAAAACCTTCCAAGAAAATCAACAAAACAAGCTGCTTAGATGCAAAATTCTGATGACTAAATGTTGGATATTTTTAAATTCTGGTGACCATATTTTTTCCTTTTAAGCAATTTATCATTGTTTCAGACCATGCTTTCAGTAATCTCAACCCTAAAAAGCCTAATGGGGATAAAACAGATGCAGCCAACTAGCAACTTACACATATAAAAATATCAAAACTAAAACTTTAAGATACTTAAAAGAATGAAAAAAGCAGATTTGGAAAGGAGAAAGATTCCCCCATCCTAACATTCTCTTTTCTTTTGATACACTGCAGCAATATTAGTTTACTCTCATCTTAATCCTAAAACATCTTCTAAACCATTTTTTCCTTTAAAAGTATTAGTAATTTCTTGGTGTCATTGAGTGAATAAAAGTGCACAATCCCTAAAAAGAGAAATGCTCACAAATCATTAGATTAAAACATTTTACAGCTTATTTTTCATCAAAAATTATCTATACAGACATTTTCCATCGTAACCATTACAAAAATATACTTTTTAAAAACATCATAGAAATATCACTCTTCTGTACAGGCACAAATAAACTGTTTCAACGCATTCCCAGCAGCTGACGGCTTTTCAACTGATAATGCTTCTCCAGTTCACACAGGGCTTGAGCACGCAGATTTGCAGCATAAAGACGCTTCTTCAAGTTACAATTTTTTTCTCTTGATTGGGAAAAGTTTTCCAGGTTTTCCTCACCTTGAGCATTTTCTTTACTTTCGTCACCAAACTGGACTTTCTTTTTTCTTGCTGTATGGACAGGTAACATTTCATCTTCTTAAAAAGACAAACAAAAATATACGTTTGTAATATTCATATAAACTTCTTTAGCCATAACATTTGCAAAATATTAGAATTCATATCTAGTATCATAGACTATCATATCATAGAATTCATTCATATGGTATGGCAAATAGGAATACCAAGAAATATTAAATAAATGCAAGCCACGTTATTTAATCCAGTACAAATAAGTTACTGTATTCCTGAAAAAAAAACCACTTTGAGTTAAATTTTTTTAATAGTTTTTGTAGCCATGGAGAGATCTTCCAGCTCAATTTTTTTTGTTTTTTTTTTAATGGAAGAACAGGATTTTTGTCCGAAAGCCATTTGAAACATATCTAGGCAATATTCAAATGACAGCATCACAGTTCCTTTTGTGTTTGTTTCTTAGCTTTACTTTTTTATTTTCATACTTATAGCTCCTTTATGAAAAAAGAATTATAGGTAAGAACCAGCAATGCTAAAAAGATTCATCTTGAAAAAGCTAACGGTTGGTAGAATTATATAAAAATACTTTGCATAAAATAATCACATAACACCTTCAATAATAGCATGAGCATCCTTGATCATGTAAGGTTCTTCTTATGCTCATAATATGCTATTCTTTTAATATATTTTCTATTATTATATTCTTCAAATTCTATACCAGTCTGTGAAGCCTATTCTGATAATAGGTGTTTCAATCCATGAACTGGTAGTTGCCACAAGTTGGAAATCAATGCTTTTCTTTTCTTTTTTTCCCCTCCATTTTCCCCCCTAGACCTTTGTTTTCCATTTTCCCTGCGCAGTTTTTCCACTATTTTCATTTGTATTTTATTCTTTGAAATGTTTAATAAAATAAAAATCATGAACTTTTATAATAAATGTTTAATTGACATGCCTACACTTTATTCTTTCTTGACAACACAGAGTATATGCATACCCATAACTTTTTTATTCCCCTTAATTATCCAGCCAGGAAGATGGGAGTCAAGCACGTCTAGTTTTTGCTGATCTAGATGACTATGGATTATAGTTTCTTAGGTTTGCTAGTATAAGTCCAACAGGCTGTGTAGTCAATCACACCAGCCCTTTGGGATATATGAAGTGACACATTTACTCCCAATCATCCTGTTATTGCTGGTATTGCCTATTGAATAAATAACAAGGAGCAGTAAACTACTGATCTTTTTTCTTGGAAAATTATTTGGTTCAGATCTGAAGGGAAAAATGAGTGAAATAGTAGTAGAAGGTGGAGGATGAGGGAAGGCTGTAGGGACCACAAAGGAGGAGGAAGACAAGCGAGTTAATGGTCCAGTCCAGAAGTGACTGAGTCCAAATGAAGCATCAGAAAGTAACCCAACCCAATGAAATATAAGTTGTGTGGATTTTTGTAGACTTTACTATTGTTACATTACATGACTTGCAATATTTTTTAGAACTCAACATGGCTCATTTCCTGAGCCTGCCACTCTCACAGAGGTACAGTTGGTCTCTTGAACTTCTACCCCATCCCTAAAATTGCTTTTGAAAAAGCTGTTTCCTCCTTTCCCTCTCTAGCTACTTCCTGTGTTCTCAAGGTTTGCTAAGCATGCCATCACAAAATCTTTGGATCTCTCTTCTGTAAATATGCAGACCTTGGGATATTTGCAGCCCATACATGATATGCCTAACCTGAACACCCTTAATTATTCTTCTTTGAACCTGCTTTCAATTCTTCAATTACATCTTAAAATGTAGTACCCAGAACTGGATATAATATTCAAAATTAGCCTATGATTTAGAAACTGTTTCTGTTCATGCACCCGAATAGTTATTATTTGTCAGTTTAGTATTTGCACCCAAATTATGCTGCTCTTATTCCTGTATTGTTCACCTTTACTAGTTCATATACATGTACATTTAATGTTTTCATAAGAAAAAGTTGTATTTGTCTCTATTAAATTTATTTTGTTATTAACAACTTATTCTTCTAATCCATCAAGATCAAACTGAATTGTTTAAGTCTTCAATCATATTAATATGCTACTCAGTTGTGTGTACAGTATACCAGTTTGATTAGCATTTGTTCCATTTCTTCATCAAAGTCATCAGAAAAAAAAGATAAAGAATACAAAATTGAGATTTGCAAAATGGCACTCCATTCAGTGACTAACCATTGATAAGTTTTCTGTGAATGCAGTTTTGTCATGCTACTTAGCCCACTTAGCAGCCTTGTTAATCAGAACGTTATCAGAACGTTAATCAGAACGTTATTAAGAAGAGGCCAAGACACATCTCAGAAAACACATCTTTTATGTTTTTACTTTCAGAAGCTCAGGACCATATAACTTTTTTCAGATGAAGGACCTCTGAGTGGTTATCTCAGAACTAGAACTAAGGGCAAGGATAAAGAACTAAGCAGGGTGGAAACTGTTTAATTCACAATAATTATACTATAGTTGGTCACTATATTCCAAGGAAGAACAGTTTTTCTCTCCTATTGTGTTAAAAACTACAATTTCTTGGTAAGTTTTAGATATCCAAAGCATGAGGGGATGCAATTGGCTTTAAGATATATACTCTATATATATTTAAGAACAGTCAAGTAGAGACAACTGTGAAGGAATATCTTTAAAATATAGGTAATGGAAGTGTGGGTGCAGATGCAACTAAAGATCAGCAAAATGACAGGACAAATCATTACTCTTAGCTGAAGGTTTGTTTTATTTTCCTCCAAAACCTAAACATTTTACAGAGGAGCTAAAGCTTAATTCTATTTAATATTTAGGGGAACATTTAGCAAACAAATGTTTATTTGCATTTAAATGAACATTGTTCCTCCTACTGCTCTAAAGAACATATCTTAATGGCATTCAAGAAGGAGAAAATTAATTTTAACTTTATCCAAGTATCCATTCTAACAAATAGACATCACAGATTCCATCCTGACAAAGATTAGGTCTAACAGATGTTTACCATGTAGAATAAAATTTGCTTACTGTATGTTAAGTAACATTTTCTATAATTCTAAATATTATAGCAATGTAAGTTTCAGAATTTGCTATACTATATTTTATTGCATTTGTAATTTTTTCATTTCAGAAAAGTATCTAAAATATAGAAAATGTATATTCAATCTGTTCCTTTCTTTAGCCCCTAGCCAAGAGCCTTCAGGTTTGTAAAAGCACAGCCTCTTGCATCAGCCAGCATAGAAAAATATAAGTTGTTGTGAAAAAAATGCTATAGTTGTGGTTATCAGAGAATACAACAACCAAAGTCCTTAAGCCTACAGACTACATGTCATCCAAAATACAATATTAAGCAAAAATTTATATTTTTCTTTATTATATGGTTGAATAGTTGAATATATTTGCAGCTCTGCTTCAAGCAGTTTATACTCAGTGCAGGTAAAAGGAAGAACTTTTTTGAATAGCATACACAGAAACTAAATTAGGCCCCGTTATCTTGAGTAGGAATAAATTAATAAAAGTATAGAATATGCCACTCAAAAACATCTGGTTGATAACTAGAGACAAAACTGTAAAGAGGTCATTAATATGATTCAGCACAGACCCCTCATACATTTTCGATAATGTCAATTTAATATAGAAGTTATCTATTTGAAGTTTTAATCACAGCCTAATAGCAGATTCAAAACAAAAATCCTGCCTCTTAAAAGAAACAAACAACTTTACAATATGTATTTGGTTATGATTTTTTTTGTAGTGGAATTAGTTAAATGATACCACATGTAAGAGCTACACTGTCAAGAAAAATGATTGTTCAGTGACAAGAGCCATTATTATCATTATTTATATGCCACCCAGAACCATTGCTTAATTATCTTAATTACTGCTCTGTTAGTGAATAAGCATTTTTGAGGTAACTATATTTTCTGGCAATAAATTTGTTGAAGTCTACCGGGGTGAGGGCAGACTATTTACATTTGTGCCTTGCTTAATGTTAGCTATTGTTAGTTTATCCTGATAAAACAGGATAGTCCCTCTTGTAAATTTGTTCTAGTACAGCACCAAGTTCTGTTATTGTTCAAGTGAATTAAGGACAACTGATATTTAAGAGACAACTGTTTCGACATCAATATTTTTTTAAAAAAGGAATGTCTTTAGCTCCTGGACAACTAAGCCTTTTATTTGTAATGGCTTTCTTTAAAAAAAAGTTTTCATAAGCTAGACAAGCTTTGAAGCTGTATATGCTCAAAGTGGTATTTTTCCCAAATACTTTGTGGAAAACATCTTTTCAAGTAGAAAAGAATTTCCAAGATTGCAATAACTCCTTGTAATCCAGTCTGAAAACCAGCCAAAGTGCATTACTTTCCAGCTACACAGGAATATAGTGGCATACATAATAATAGCAAAACTTAATGACTTTAAAAATGAAGAGGTAATTTTTAAAATTAGCACCACTGAAATATTTCATTACCTTACAGAAATCTCATTTTCTTATTTACAAAATAGTAAAATATATTTTATTAAGGACTAATTTCACAGTTTAAGAATGTCAAGACTGAGACATATAAAAATAAAGAACAAAGAATGGGTGAATTAAATAGCTATCTTTACACAATGTCACCCAAACGTAAGTAACAATATACCAGGTGTAACAGCCAAGTTTCACATGAAAATAGAAATAGAAGTTGTTTCTTTTATGAATACATACTTTGTTTCTGATCAAGTACACAAAAGAATCACAACTCACAGTAATTTGGAAAGGTTTAGTAGAAGTCATAATTTTCCATATAAGGAAAGTTTCTTAAAATCCTGAAGTATGTATACTTCATGATTTGTGAAGGGCCGTTACTGAAAACTGGATTTGTGATTTCACAACTCTTGAAGCATCTTTCATTGTTTACTATGCTTAGAGTTTCAGATCTTTAGGAACCACAGAGCCATGTATTCAGTATAGGGGGGGTCTTCCTTTTCTACATAATTCAACAGTAAAGCATTTTATAATATTCTGGGATTATCACAATTCTAGAAGGCTGATATCAGCCATATAGGTAGAAGAAAGCTAATGATGGAAGCTTCTGTATCCCTGGTTAGTAATCCAGTAGGAGTTTCCTGTATCTTCTCCTACCTGGGCAAGTTGCTGGCAGGTAGAATCTATGGTCCTTGAATAAGTTGTAATTCTTCATCAAATTCTCAGCCCTATAAAAAGGAGTTGATTAGAACAAACAAAGCTTATATTAAAATGATTTCCAAATTATTTCCATTAATCTAGAACGTTTTGAAGGCTAGCAAATATTGTTATATCACAAATGTCTAGCTCTGTAGTCTTTCCCAGCCTACAGTATGTTCCATCCAAATGTGCATGTTTTAGTATCCAGAATTCTCATAAAGGGCCATAATGGCTGGAGGATACCAGGAATTAAATTCCACACATAGGAGGTCGCCTAACTTTTCCAATAAAGATCCAGCCACAAAAACCTATGCCATGGTATTTTTTTAAAAAAACTTTATTGTAGCAAACTAAGACATTTCAAACATTTAAGAACAGACCTAGACAATTTGTCCTCTGCTAATCTCTCCCGAATACACAATTCTCGTTCTCTCTCTAGAACAAAAAGAAAAGTATGTTTATAAGATTGCAGTTAACACCATTGGTATTTTATTTGACAGAGAAACACATAACATTTCTTTATTTTAATAACACAAGTAGTCCTCAACTTACAACAATTCATTTAGTGACTATTCACTAAATAATGAACTTAAGGACCACCATCAGTGAGCTGTTGGACAGTATTACTTGGTCTGTTGTGTGGATGCTTGTGTGTTTTTAGGAGGCGGGGAATTTTGGCAGGTGGGGAGGTGTTTGGGGATTGTCATGAGTATGTGCATGTTGAGTCTGGTCTCTGGGTGTTATGTGAATTTCGTTGTATGTATACTGTGTATATACATACAATGACAATAAAGAATTCACTTCAATTATTCAAAGTTATAACGGCACTGAAAAAAGTGACTTATGACTGTTTTTTACACTTACAACCATTGCAACATCCCCATTATCATGTTATCAAAATTCAGATACTTGGCACTGATTCATATTTATGACAGTTGCAATGTTCCAGGGTCATGTGATCACCTTTTGCAACCTTCAAACTAGCAAAGTCAATGGGGAAGTCAGATTCACTTAACAACTGTGTTACTAACTTAACAATGCAGTGATTCATTTAACATCTGTGGCAAGTTAGGTCGTAAAATGGGGCAAAATTCACTTAACAATTGTTTCACTTAGCAAGAGAAATTTTGAGCTCAATTGTGGTCAAGGACTACCTGTAATAACTTTATTCTGCTTATGAGAAAACCTGTATGCAATTAAAATACTTTGTAAAATCCAGATACTAGTGTAGGTAATGCCCCAAACTCAGTTGTAAAATTTGCATTGTCTTATTTGTTAAAAACTTATTGTCTTTTACTCGAGGCACTATAAACAGCATGCTAGCCTCCAATTCTTCTATAAACAACCACCCTCTAAGGCACCTTGAACTGAAAGACCCAAAATCACTCAGTGAATTTTAATGGAAGAGTAGATTTCAACCTTGTATTATCTATTTAATGCGCTACCTTTTTAAATAGTTCAGTCATCATTTGAATCCTTAGCCTACAATAATCACATTAACATTGTGGATGTTTAGAATTCGATTGCTGTCAGAGAGTATCAGTGGACTACTTCAGAACACTAGAAGTCAAATTATAAGTGTTCTGAAATTCCATGAATTTCACTGTGCTCTTTCCTTTATTTCAAATCTCTATTTCACTTTAGGTATCACAAAAAATCATTTGTTGTGATGATTAAGCTCAAAGCAGCCAGTGATGGAATGCCACATATATGTTTTATTAATTCACTTACGTTCTAGTCTGTGTTCCCTTTCCTCTATAGCTTTCTCTTTCTCTTGCAGCTGTTGTTCTTTCAGTTTTAATTCATTACTTGGTGTTCCTGAAACTCTTTCTACTTTATCCTGGTCTGATCGTCGTCCTTTCCTCTCCAAAATTCTCACTTGCTCCTCAGATACCAAATCGACTATCAATGGATTCTGTAAAATTTCTTCAACTGAAGGCCGGCAATAATCCTTGAAATCAGAAAAATACATGCTTAGCTTACAAAAAACTTCTTTTAAAAATGCTAGAGAAAGATTGCATACGTATAGACAGGTGTATATATCTCTAACAACTGGATTTAATTTCACTATTGGCACTTAGTTACATTAAAGACTAAGCAGTCACACAAATGCACTTCCTTCTCAAGAGCACCTTTTAGTGAGATAGGGCAAAGGTGTGGGAAATTAAAAGTTAGATGGAGTGCGGACATTAGTTCTAGAAAATTTTCCACATACAGCTCCTTCAAAACACAGCTCCTCTTTTTTTTTTCCAGCAGTCATCTTACCTTCAGGTTTAACATCTTTGTGATGAGTTCATTCAGCTGTTCCGAATAACGGTATGGGATTCGTCTGAACTTTCCTTCCCTTATCTTTTGTGCTAGCTCTTTCTGATTAAAAGCTGTAAATGGAGGTCTAGGAAAAGTGAAAGGCATGCTTTTCAATTTTAAATCTACAAAATGGTCACTATTAAACTTTCTAGAGAATTGTGTTGTAAAATATTACGTGCTATTGCTTGACATTAAGGATATAGCTATATTGAACAGCTGCTCAATATTACTCTCAAATATATGCTTTAAAACATTTGCAGTACAATACTTACGACAGTGCACATAACTCATATAGCAAACAGCCTAGAGACCAGATGTCAGATTTTTCATTATAAGACATGCGATTTATTTGCTCCTAAAAATTAGATTAAAAGTTATTAAAATATAAATAATTGCATGGCAATAAAATAGCAAATTAAAGGGAACACCATTCTAGGAAATCAATTACTTAATCACATGTAGTTTGGAGACTGTTTAGCTCAGGGGTCCCCAACCCCTTGGGCTGTTGGGAACTGGGCCGCGCAAATGGGGGGGCAAGCATGTGTGAAACTATCCTCTTCTCCCACCACTACCACCATTGCCAGTCTGCCAGAAAGGTTGGGGATCGCTGATTCAGCTGTAAAATACTCCTTAATATTGGACAGCCTTCCCAATCTAGTCTTTTTCAAAATAGCTCTACCCAAAATCTAAGTCATAGTTTGAATAACCATAATAATTCACAGAAGAGATATATATAAAACAAACCAGAATAATATGGCTTTGTATATTGAGTAAACCCAGCCTATATCTTCTGGAATTATCTACTAGCAGGATTTTGCTTGCTAAGAAATCAATTCAAAGATTTTCCTCTCAATATATCTTAGAGGGTTCTAGATTAGGAAAGCAAAACTACACAGTAAAAATAAAACTTAGTAAATGATTAACTTAAGCCCTATAAATTTCTGTGGGAATACTTCAAGTACAATCAGACTCAATGTAATTATTATTTCATGCTCCATTAGATGGGCAGTGTTGGTTCAGTTTGTTAATAAGTGTAGAAACAGCATCTCCAACACCATATTACCCTAGACCTGGATTATACCAGCACTGAAAAGACAAAAGCAGTTTTGAAATTCCAAGAAAACCGTATCTTCAGTCACTCATTACCTTTCAAAGAAGTGTTAAATTTTTCTGTCCTAACAGTGGAAAACAAGTCCCCCCCCCCCCAATATTTTTGTAGGTGTTTTTTCTAAAAAATATTCTTTTTTATATATTATAGAGATAACAGCAGTTTTGATTAAAATTATGCCATTAAATGATGTTTTGGGTATTTTCAGAAACATATATAGAATATATTTATTATTTTCAATGCCTTCTTAATATTTTAAAAATCCATGGAAAAAGCATGTGTTTTCAAAATTGTAACTATTTACCCAGATGTGACAAGTATCACGTTATAAATAATTCTTAATTTGTTTGTTCTGTTGCATTCCACTTTATTTTTTACAAATAACTCAAGGTGGCAAACATATCCGACACACTTTCCTCCTCCTATTTTCCCCACAAAAGAGCCCTGTGAGGTAAGTTGGCTGAGAGAGTGTGTGTGATTGGTCCAAGGCCACCCAGCTGGCTTTCATGACTAAGGCAAGACTTGAACTCAATCTCTTGCTTTTTAACTTGGTGCCTTAACCACTAGACCAAACTGGCTCTCTAATAGTTTTGAACAAAATTCAAAAACTTATAATCAGACTTCTACTTGCCCAATAAGCATTCTCCTTGTTTCTCACAGGGCAAATTTGGGGCATATAAAGGGAGGGAGACAGATAGGAAGACTTCTGTCAGTGGCACTTTAATTAGGAAGAAGTCTAGTGAAAAGTCAATTCATTTTAGTTCAATTAATTTAAGCTGTTAAAAAAAAGCCAAGTTACTTACTACAGCTTGGCAAAAAAACATGTAGTTTTGTTTTCAGATTTATTATATATTGACCATGCTAACATAGAACAAAACTAATCTGAAAAAGTTTGAAGGACACTTACTGGAGACATATAATATGGTGTACCAACAAATGTTTTTGCAAAACTGGTATCATGATGAAGTATTCTAGCCAGGCCAAAATCACCAAGTTTCACATTTTTCTTGCCATCAAGGAAAATATTTGCTGGTTTCAAGTCTCGATGAAGCACAATGAGACCACCATCACTCCGCCTGTGACACTCTTTCAGGGCCAAAGTCAATTGAGTAAGGACGCGAAGAACAAAAGCTTCATCCAGATAATGCCTTTTGAAAGAGGAAAAGGTTGTTTTAAGTGCTTTTAGACTAAACTTTTTTCATTCAACTAATTCTCAAAATTCTATACAGTAGAATGTGATTTAAGAATAAGATACTTTAGAGGCTTTTAAAATTGAGACTTTTTTACCTGAATAGCTACTGTCAAGTCCTGAGACAAAAAATAAAATTTTATTATTTTGCAGATTATTCTCCCACATATTCTTTTGATTGCTCCCAGAAGAAGTGTAAAATTTATACTAATATATATTTTAAAAAATCCCTGTAAATGGGCAAAACTGGGAACACAGTGAATTTGCATTCTGAAGAGATTATAAGCAAATTTCACAGGACTTCTTTTTCTGCTGCTTACAAGCCTTTTTTATATATACAAATCAGAGCAATTAACATTTTGTAGTCATGAACATGATAGTAATTGAAAATTATTTTAAATAAATATTGGTTTGAATTTTTTGTTCTTTCGTATTATGACTTCTGATTTTTTTTCCATTTTGCATTATTCATTCATTTCCCCCACCCTTTTTTTTCATTTGTACCAAATAAGGGTAAAATAAATTCTTGTTACTAATCTTCTCTAAACAGTTGAACAGGAATTCTATCTCCCTCTTCCTAAACTCTTATAAATATTTCAAAGAGGTAAAAGTTTGGAAGATTTATGTAAGATAAGATACAGCAAGATTCTATTTTATTATCCAAATCTATTTGCAAAGGAGGAAAAATCACCACTCCCTCACTCAAATTCAGACTGTTTTCTCAGTTGTTGCAATGTTTTTCCCAGAAATGTGAGCATAAGCTAAATCTGACTGTTTGGAACATTCTTTTAAACAGAAGAGTTTGGAAAGAAAATACTGGCCTCTAAGTTTGGGGAAGGATCATTTTTACCCTTTTCAACTTTCACACAAAAAGAAGGACCGGGCCATTTGCCCCAGCATACAAAATTCTGGATTATTAACAATCTTTGATCTACTCTGTCCATCACTCTGTTATGTATCCTCATCTGCCCTCTTTGGGGACTCTTGTAGATTATGCTGATGATTTTCAACATTATTTACACAAGTTCAGATTTAAAGGAAAGATGCAAGAACAAAAGGATTTCAATTTATCATATTTTACTTTATAACATTGAAGAGATATATCCTATAACAAGAGCCAACTATCATTGCTGGCTGGTTGAAACATTTTTTTTTATTTTGTAAATGTAAACTTGTATTCAAATTTTGTTTTGCATCCTCTATTAACCTGCGTGTAAATTTAAAATCTGAGACCAAAATATATGGAGGTAGGGGCAAAAATTAGGTAAAATACTTCAAATAGAGAACTATGAAAATAAATGCCTAACTTATAAATTATTTTATAAGCCAAAAGTTTTAGGAACTAGTACTTGAATTTGAACATACCCTGCTGTACTGTATTATAAAAAATAATCAGACCAAGTACAAGGGCATGAATTTAAAAATAATGATTCTACCACAAGTATGTGTATTTTGTCATGAAAGTTGTCTCAAACTCCTGAAATTTCATAGTGGTTGATTTCTCTCAATATGCATAATTTAAATAAATGAGAGCACTTCCAGATGAAAGAGTCTTTTTTGTGTGTGGTATAAAATTACACCTTCTCCATTCAAACAATATTGTGGTGTCATCAGAATCTTCTAAGTCAGCATTCCCAACCTTTCCAGCTTTGCGGACCAGTGGGGGGGGGGGGGGGGTTTTATTCTGCGTGAGCGGCAGGCAAGCTAACCCACGCAACTCCATTTGTGCAAGCAGTGGGTGAATGCACCTGCCATTTGGGTAAATGGAACTGACTGCGTACACACGCTCACCCACCACTTTCACACCCCAATTCTGAACAGGCAGTAGTCTGGTATTGGGTCATGGCCTGGCAGTTGGGAATTCCTGTTCTAAGTGGCATCTTTTTATATCTCATTTTTCCATGGATTTAATTTTAGTCTCAACAGTTGCTAACTAATAGTCATTGGAGAAGGGGAACTGCACAGGAATTCAAGCCTGCTTATTTCTAGATAACTCTAGTTAGCTATTTTAATTTTAGCTATTATATACCACAGAAGAGTTGCAAGAAAGAAGATACAAGGAAGAGATCATAAACAGTACAACTCAGTCTCAAGTACAGGTAGTCCTTGATTTACACCAGTTCATTCAATGACCATTTGAAGTTACAATGGCTCTGAAAAGTAACCTATCACCATTTTTCATATTTACAACCATTGCAGCATTCAGATGTTGGCAACTGACTCATATTTATTATGGCTGTGGTGTCCTGAGGTCAAATGATCCCCTTTTATGACCTTCTGACAAGCAAAGTCAATGGGAAGGCCACATTCACTTTACAACCGTGTCACCATACTAACTTAACAACTGTGTCAGAAAAGGTCAACGGGACAAAATTCACTTAACAAATGTCTCGCTTAGGAAAACAAATGTTGGGCTCAATTGGGCTCAAGGACTATCTATATACAGTATATGCTACAATAAGGAGTGTTAGAAAGAAGTCTGGTATGCAGAAGTGCTCTAAATGATAATTCCAACATACATTCCAGAACCAACATAACATTCCAAATAATTCAGAGATTTTACATACCTTTCTTTTGTACATTTTGCAATCAGTGAAGCCAAATCTCCACATTCACAATATTCCATCACAATATAAAGTGTTGTATTTGTCCTGTCAATTATACGATCATAATAACGAACAATATTTGGATGTTTCAGTTCACGAAGTAAGTTCACTTCAGAAACAAGCATTTGTTTTTCAGATTCTGTCATAGATCCATAGTCCAGTTCCTTCCAGACTAAAACCTGAAAGAAGACAAATAAGCCATTTCTAAACTATGAAAAATATATAATAAAATGATTAAATAGCGCAATCATTTGGAATGAAGTCCAATGGACTAAAATAAATAATCCAAGAATTAGGAAACTATGTCTCATGTCTCTCTTGCAACAAACATCTTAACCCTCCATTTTTATAATATCAAGCAATACACTTGGTATTTTATGAGTACCATCCAGGCTTTCCCTCATTAAGAGCCTTGCCTTGTTAAATATAGGAATATGCTGCCTCTGGCAGGAGGCTGTAAATTCTGTCAGTTCTTATCAGGAATAATAGCAATAGCATTAGCACTTAGACTTATATACTGCTTTACAGTGCTTTACAGCCCTCTGTAAGCGGTTTACAGAATCAGCATATTGTCCCCAACAATCTGAGTCCTCATTTTACCAATCTTGGAAGGATAGAAGGCTGAGTCAACCTTGAGCCTGATGGCATTTGAACTGCCAAATTGCAGGCAGCCGGCAGGCAGCAGAAGTAGCCTGCAGTATTGCACTCTAACCACTGCACCACCATGGCTCATAATAAAGAATAACAAACACTTTTATGCCATAATGATCAAAGAAGAAGCAGATAGCAAGGCCATTACTATATCCCCCTGAAACTATGCAATTAAAAACATATAATTACCCAAACTAGTCACAAATATCCTAAGCTTGTTTGTGCTACAAACATTCAAGTAGAAGCAAACTATTCCAAAGGACTGAGATTTCATAGCAACATTTCTTAAAGTATATTCCCCAAAACACATATTTCTGAACAACTTGGGATAACTCCAAGAACCAATATATTTTTGAGTTTTCAATCTGCTCAGTTTCACTAACCAAGCAGACATTGGATCACCTTTTAAAACATGATCCTAAGATTTAGTTTATTATATTTCTGTACTTTGGATTTTCCCAGCTTTACTGTTTTATAAATAACAAAAAGCATCCCAATATTCCATAAAATCCTCACATAGCAATGACTTCCCGACAGCATCCTTATACTACTAAAACTCTTCTTGTCATTACCTTTAACTTGGCAAATCAGTGTACCATAGGCTAGCAATTTTTGAACCAAGGTACCTCAAATAGGCTAATTTAAAGAATACATTTAAAATCCAGAGCCTATAAGTCCCAAAGGAATGAACTTTGCGGAAGTTGTGGCTGCCTCAATTGAAAACTTCAATTTCCAATGCTCCCAACCAGTACACTCAATGGAAAAGCCAGCAGGAAATCGGAAAACATTCCTGCTCCTATTGCTTTTTTATCTGCTTTGGCCATTCTGTTTCTCTGCTTAGGTAAAGAATAATCCCCAAAACGATAACACAATAGGGCAATGGTTGCTATTGAATTAAATGCATTAAATATATTTACTAATTTATACACACTCCAGGGAGTGTACAACATTAAAGGTCAACAACTACATTGTAAATATTTTAATATCTATTATTTATTTAATAGTTCTGGAAGGTCATCTGATTTGTTTTAATATGTGTTTATTGCAGAATTACTTAAGGCAAACCCTGCTAGTCATAAGAGCATATTTCTATTATATAAAATTCAATTTTTAATTATGACTATGGCCAGTCTAATATAGAAAATATTTTCCTAGCGCACATACCCAGGCCCATTAAAATAGCAAACAATTCCAATTTAATTGTAATTATCAAAGGAACATCCATTTAAGGATAGCTTCTGGAAGTGCATGTGGCTTTAGTACTTCAGAATATGTATCCCAGACCAAACGCATTAGAACCCAGAAATCACATTGATTTAATGCATGATTTAAAAAAAACCTTATGTATTGCCATATTATTAATTAAAAAAACAAACCAAATTCACTTTCCGGGGGAAAAAAGGGGGGGAGTTGGTCTTCTCTTTGTTCAAGGTCAACTTCAAAACCGTTTCACTTTATGAGTTGTAAGGCTTCCAGGTGAGCAACTAAAAACCACTAGAGGAACTTATTAGGACTAGTGAGGTGGGGTTTCCTGGCTTTCTCAACCATCTTCCCCTAGTGGCTGTTGGCTTTCTTAACCATCTTCCCCTAGTGGCTGATACGTTGAATCACAAACTAGCTAATTATATATTTAGCCTAGAATACTGTGTGAACTGGTAATAACGTATAGTTTCACGTATGGTGCAATTCTGCAGCATGGACCGGAAGATCTTGCCTACGGTAACAACAAGTGCAGCGCCCCCTCTCCAGAGCTCTCCGGGCTTCATGGATAACGGCCATCCCATTCGGGGTCGGCGTCCCCGGGCAGGAGGGGCAGAAGAAGAGGCTCCGCGGAGCTTAGGTGTACCCGGCGGCATGCGGGCAAGCAACGCCAAGTGCCAGGGGACCGTTGCCGGAGGGTTCCTCCGCTCACCTTGCCGTCCGCCTTCCGCCGCACTTTTTGGCATCTGCCGTATGAACCGGCGCCAATGGTGAAGAGTACTTCGTAATCCTCGGGGCGGCTCGGCATCCTCGCCTCCTCCGATTTCCAACGGACCCCCTAAACAGTAAACACGCCGTTTCGCCACGGAAGATGTTTAAAACGCGCCGCGCTTTCGCTGATTGGCCTGGCCTCGCGGCTCCGCCCAACCTCGCCGTCTGGTTTTCGATTGGCTCCTGTGGCTACGTGCTGGACGCGCCGCGCAACGGTTGCTTCGGCAGTTGCTAGGCGACCACAATTAATGGCGGTTCAGGGCGGCGCGAGAAACGGATAGAGTTCGTCCGGATTGGCTCTCGGAGCCCCGCCCCTATCTTAACCTGATGCTGTGAGGGTGGTCTGCCTTCCGAGAAGCGTCCTAAGGTGTCGGTCGGGAACCAGGTTTTTTTTATTTCAAACAAACTAGCATCGCTTTCATCGTATCATTTCCTTGTATGTCCTAATCATTTGCCCTATAAAGGTTACAAGGATAGAAAAATTAGTTTGCTCTCTTTCGCAAAACTAATTGGATTGTAAACACCTAGCTTTTAATAAACAGTCCAATCCTTGATACACGTGTTCAGAAATAAACCTTAAAATATTTATCTTTTTCATCAACTACTCTTGGAGCGAAGCTTTCCTGTACATGTATAATGTTCCATAAAATAAAGTCCATAAAGATAATATTCTACAAAAAATAATTAGAATATCAAATTTCACAAGATAGAAACCAATAGCGGTGAACTAGATTTTTAGGAAGGAGATAAAAGAATTCACATCAGAAAGCAAGGGCGTTTTGAGATTTCCATGAAATGTGTTCTATTTGTTGAAATTTTATCCCGTCTTTATTACCTAAGTAACTCAATGTTTTGGGAAACTGCAGAATGCTGTTATTCCTCCAGAACAAGATGTGGCTTCTAGTGTTCCAGAAGTGGAATGGGTGCAGAGGAGGCCAAAGGAGCCTTTTATTTATAGGTTTAGTTATGAGTCATTCTTCATTTAAATGGGTTGAGCAAAAATATTTGCATGGAGGGCTTCTTTCAAACTCTCAAAGAGAAAAATCTCAACTTAATGAAGATTTGTTTAATTTTCACGATATATATGGCCGCTCCATTTTCTCAGACTCTGAGCAATTCCACACTGCAGCCCAAGCTGTTCCCATCTCTTCCTTAACCTCATATCATAAATTCCACATCAGATTGCAGTGAATTGGCAACATGGCTGCCCTGAGCATCAGTCCCTACTATTGCCACTACAAGACCTAATTGGGCATTCTGCTGCTTCTTGCTCTTCCCATCTATGTAAAGACTCTTTGTGGACTGAAGACCAGATTAGATGGAAAGGTTTAATTTAGAGGAAAAAAGTGGCACAGATATATTAATTGACATATTATATTCTTATATGTATGATATGAGCTACGATATTCATATACTGTGTATCTCATATTTATTTAGACCAAAGCTTACTTTGAATTGCAAGTTCCTTCAATTCGTCACTCAGGTTGCTGATGCAATTCATGTTTCTATTAGGAATGAAGAATATATAAGAAAGAATCAGAATGTGATTTCATTCTTGCCATTGAGCTTCGATATCTGAACCTTTGCTCTGCATGTTGTAACTTCATTATTTTGAATAGCCTGTCTGTACTGACTGCAGGAACAGTCTGGATCAGTAAAATAATGCCAGATTTTTTTAAAACTATAATACTAAAATGTTTTAATAACAGTTAATTTTATACTGGTCTTTGATTTATAAGATGGTTGCCATTCTCATTCATCATTTATTAATTGTACTGGAAATTATAGAATGGATAAGTGCATATAGATATCATTAAATTAAATATCTGTGGGTATATACATAACTACTGATACATATATCCTAAAGAATCAATGTGTATCTTCTTTATATCTGAATTTGATGTCTGAAGACTCAGAAAAGAAGTCAAACCTGAAAAACTGTGCCTTTTCTTTCAAAAACAAAATTTGCAAAAGGCAAATTAGTAAAAATGTAATGCAGCTACTTTGATTTTAAATATCTTACAACTGAGATATCAAAGATGACCTCTTTCAAACTTGACCTTTTGAAAAATAACTAAAGTGAATCTTTCAGAGCTTATACTACAGGCACTAAATATTCCACTAGATGGCACTACTTTATCACTTCTAATACTCCTCAAAGTTAAAAAAAATATTTGTACAACCTTAACGGTTTTTACTGTAACATATACAGCACATCTTATTAGATGTGTTGTGCTGTCCTCAGTTGGCTCTGTTTGTTTGTGTGTGTAATTGAAAAAGGGATGAAATGCAAGAATAAAAGATGATTTATGCCTACTATATTTAATAAAGGAATATCACCTTTTAAAATCTTGGAATGGTCTGCTGGCAGGTAGAGTCCACAAAGAGATGGAGCCAATTTAAGTAAATATTTTAAAAAGTGAATATAATTACACATATGTAATAATGTTTCTAATTTGTCCTTAGTCTAACATTTACAATTTGACATAAATGTTTGAAGATGCTTATGGGGCTGGGCCCAAGTTTTTTTTTTTCTTTGGGGGCGGGGTACACGTGACTTCTGGCTACAGCTTGGACAATCTTGAAATGTATAATGAGAGCCCAGGGCACATTCACAACAGAAGCCATTAGTCTTTCCAACTACATTCTGCTATTTAGCTTTTTTAATGGCCTAGCACAACATTGCTGGAAGGAAAGCAGCATCCTCAGCAATTAATGTTTTATAAATTGTTGTGTCCCATCTGTTTTCCTTTTGAACTCATATATGAAAGTACTTGGCAATGTGTCTGTACACATGCAGTATCTACCAGGCAGGTAATGTTTATAGCCCACAAACATGGTTTCACAACCATCCAAAACAGGTTTACTTAAGAAGTCCTATTACATCCAGATATTTTTTCTTTGTTCTGAGTATGTAATAGCCCTGCTGAAAGATTATAGGAAGCAGCATGAGGACTGTTTTTTATGGTAAGAAGGGCAACATAAGTCTAAAGCTTGTCCTGGAGGACTCCTGCTATGGCAGCAAAGCACTTTTTTGCTATCATGTGCCTAATTTCTCTCAGACATAGAAGCCAAATGAGATATCAAATGCAATCTCACATCCACCAAATCCAGAGACCCCTGATTTTATTGATATGCTGCCAGAAGAGCTCTTCCAGGAAAAAACAGAATAGGGTGGGTGGGATAGGATAGGATAGGATAGGATAATCACACAAACACCTTTTTTGTTCATGCTAAAACAATTGGCCAGTATTTCTTCACTAGGGATCTGGGATTGCTATATGCAAGCAAATATCCCTTTAACTGGCTTGAGGATGCCTTGCTAGCCGTTCATCAAGGACATGTCCATGAATTTAATATATATAATTTGTAGTACTTAATATTTATGTTGACATTTTTGATAATCCCTACTGGACTTTGCCTTAACAGGAAGGGATAGAGTTTCAGAGATGAGTTTTTTATAAGCTGGGGACAACATGGAATGAAGAGACCTTTGGTTTTAAGAGATAGTGATAAATTCTTTATGTTGATTGTATTTGCTGGGGATGAAGGGGGAAGTTTCTTTTTTCTTTTTCTATTTTCTTTTTTTCTTTCTGCACTTTATATTTTGTTTGTGTTGACTTTGTGGTTTAATGTATCTATTTTATAGTTGTATGAATTTTACTTTTATAATATAACTCTAACAAAAATTTTAAAAAGGGATATATCCATATGTCCATCTCTTTCTCTCATACTCAGCCAAGTCAGCTAACCTTCGTTCTCTTATCCAACATGCAAATAATTCACAGATGTGCATTCCATCTTCTCCCAACAGAAACTTAATATGTAGTACTTTGGTGGCAACTGAGCTGATTATTGCCAATGGCTGAAATCTGCCCAGCTCCTACTGGCTGTTGGGCCCCTCCACTCCAGCACAATCTTCAGTGGATTGTGGTTGTCTCCCAGGTTCTCCTTGTGATTCACCAATTTAAATCAGTGTTGCTCTGCATGTGATCTCTGAAGTGATACTTTCCCTTCCTTGCATGACAAGCATGTTGGCAGGTTGTGACAGGTTTTCCCCTTCTTAATTTATGTACATGCAATCTGGAAGAATGCAACAGAGTCTACAACTACAGATCCCCCATGTAGCATGCTGAAATGACTGCTCAGCAGCAAGTTGTCATGTCTGCCAACCCCCAGGTAAGCAGCCGACAGGCCTACAAAATGGACAGAGGAGGAAAGATTGCAAGCAAAGAACTACTGTAGGATAGGTAAAGACCTTTCCAAAAGAAAAGCCAAATAATGACTCGACATAAGAGTCTCCGAAGATTTCAACAATGGAAGTGAAAAATGCATTCAGCAGAAATGTTCAGACTAAGCGTCAATATGGCAGAGAATTGAAAGCTGTAAATCTTTAAGGAATCAAAGTAGAATCAAGTACTGCCCAGAATCACTTCTTGGAGTGAGATGGGCAGCATGTACTTTCAATAAATAACTAAACCATTCTGTCAAAACTCCACTCTATGCCTGGTCTGGACCAAGCCCCAGCCCATGTTAGGGGGAGCAGTTGGTAGAAAGTTTTCTTGATTGCAAGGAAATCTCTCAATTGTTGGACTATTTGTTCAACTTGTCTTATATCATTATCAATCAATGGTCTTATTACTGAGGAAATGTAGAGACTGGCAAATTGGCCAGCATATTCACTTGGGCCATCTAATAGCTTGGAGGAAAGCCCAATAAACCATTGTCTGCATATGCCTATTATCCACAGGCCACAATGCAATTGAAACTGCAGCTGATTTCTGTAGCAGTAATATTGTAGTTAAATAAATTTCATACAAAAGATTCACAGTTTATAGCTGAATGGCTCTTTGTGTTTCATGATGAGTTCTTTTTTTTCCAGTTAAAAATAACCATATTTCTACTATGTTCTTTCTGTCATACTACACTTTTATTGTATATTTATGTTACATAAACATGATCAGATTTGCTGTTAATGTAAAATACTGTGACAAACACAAGATTATTTTAAAATGGATTGTTGTTTTCAGAAAATGA